GCGAGTACCCTTGTCTGATTGTGTCAGCTATTATTTAAAAACCACCCCTTGTTCTGCTCTTATCACTACTCCAATTTGCTATTGAGGCTTTCCTGATTTCCAGCCAAGTCCATGTTTAGCCATAATTATTGTTTTGTTCCCCTTAGCCTGCAGCGTTTCAAGCCGGGAGCACTTTGGGTGCTGCATTTTGTATGACAGCTGCACAAGTCCCTTCCCGTGCTGTGTCCAACACCGTGAGCTGGTATCATCAGTCCACCGTAATTATCTTTTTTTTTTTTCCTTTCCCCACAGCAACTGGAAGCAAAACACATCGCTTGACCCATGTGCGGTTTGTAGTCTCACTGTTATATGTGACACTACTGGGAGAATTATGCTGGGGTTGTCTCCCTGGTTTTGGTGTTGCTGCCTTTATCCTCTGCTAATGCACCGATAATTTGTATGAGAGGCAATTTTCTGTTCAAATTGTCCATCTAAACCACCCTCTGTGCTTCCCCTGTAAAAGCTGCATCTATTCTGTTTTATTTCCCACAGATTTCCCCCATTTGCCGCTGGCGGGAGCAGAGCTCCTCGCCCCCGCGGGCACCGTGGCATCCCCCCCATCCTTTGTCATCGCTGTCCTTGGAGGTGCTTCAAATATGCTTGTAAAAAGTCTAATTTTCATCAAAAGTTTTTTGAATAGTAGCAAGCAGACTACTTGTGAGTAAAATAAAATAATAACAATAAAAAAAAAGGTATCTAGTAGAAGTGATACTTGTGTGCTGGGACTGAATGGATACCTTAGCAGGTGGCAGGCTCACGTTAAGCAACGGAGCTGGTCTGGGCATTTGCTTTCATTAGTGAGAGCCATGAAATGGATCTTTTCTGGTAATTTGATAATGGGGAGAGGGTGCTGCCGAAATGCCACGGTCGTTCTCAACAGAATGGCGATAGCTGAAAATTCCCCAGTTACGCGACGCGAAGAGATGAACGTTGGCCGTTGCATCCCTTGCCCTGCTCCTTCGCGGAGCTGGGGAAGCCGAACGCCTGTGAGCCGGGTGGGGTGTGTGCATCCCTTGCCCTGCTCCTTCGCGGAGCCGGGGAAGCCGAACGCCTGTGAGCCGGGGGGAGTGTGGATGTCCATGTCTGATGCTCTCGGACATCTGGTCTCCGCAGGTATGGGCAGCCCCGAGGTGCAGCTGGGTCCCTCTGCGGTGTTCATAGCTCCTCTCTGGGGCTTTCCCCCGTGCTCGTGGCCAGGCGTTCAGCAAAGCACGTTGTTTTTTTTCCTCAATGAAAATTCACCCACAAATAGGAGTCGGGGGAGCCGAGATCAAAGCCTGGAAGGGGGGGCTGGCAAGGTTTCGCTTTGATGTTTAAACGCTAGCAAAAGCCTTGCTCTGCCTTGCTGCAGGAGTCCTGGGGGACAGCGCGGTTTCGTGGTGAACTCGTCAAATCCAGGGACAAGGGAAATAAGGAGAAAGTACGACTGGAATAAGGCAACGAAAAGCCCAGTAAACCGACAGCTCCAAGCGCTGGGAGTTTCCGTGCGTGAGTGCATCTCTCTGCTTGCCGGGATCGGTTTGGACAGCTGGGTCAAGCTGGAGCAGGAGGAGGCTCTTCCCTTCCTGGGGGCTCTGTGTGTGTCCCGAGGGGACAGCAAGCGATCCTGGGCATCGTGCCACTGCGGGCGGTCCCCTCCCTGACATCAGCCCGGGGAGAGCTGTGATTCCCCAGGTAACGGTGCATGAGAAATAGCCGAAAGGGAGATGGGAGTCTAATAGCAGGGGGACAGACTAACGTCTTTGCAAGCAGAGCAGATGCCAAGGCAGAGTTATTTTGTTCAGAGCCCAAAAGTTAGATTTTTGGAAACTCTGATGACATTTGGTTTATCGGTTCTGTTAAGCGCCAAGTGAAAAGCAGCTGGGAGGTTTTGATTTTTTTTTTTTGGCTTTGTTCTGCCTAAACCATGGGGACAGGAACTGAGACATCTGGGGTTTCCACCCGTGGCTCTGCTGTGGATTTGCTGCGTGGCTCTGGGTGAGGTAGTCCTGCCTCCTGTGCCTGTCCCCTGCCCAGGAGCACATGGGCATCAGCCATACTGCAACGATCAGATTGTCCCTGATAAAGTAAATCCCTGGATTTACTCATTTTGTTTAGTTTATCCCAGAGAAGATGAGGGTGACGTGGTCAAGGACTTGGCCGAAGCAACGATGTGGGGTGATGGACGGCTCCTTGACTTGGCGTGTTGTTACGTGCGCTGCTGCGGCTGGAAGGAGAGGCTGGATCAATCCAGGGGAGGAGGCAGGCTCCAGCCTGAGCCTGGTCCCGGGGTAGAGCTGGGGTAGGTGAGAAAGAGGTAAGGGAAGAGCTAAGATTGCAGGAGATGATATGCTGGACACGGGCTTGTACTTGCTTGGATGGCACGTGCTTCTCTTGGGTCAAACAGCTGGGTTTGTTTTTAAGCACAGTCTTAAAGTCAGAAATGCTAAGGATGGGCTGGACCAGGCCACATCGTGAGATGAGCGAAAAGAAAAAAGGGAAAAAGATAGAATAAAATTGCCAGCAATGGAGTAGCCTGCCTGGTGTTGGTAACGCCGTTCTTAGCTGGTGCTGTGAGAGATGAGAGCGCAGTGGAGGTGCTACTGCACTGTCAGCAGGCAGCTTGTTTGGCCTGATTTAAGAAAAAAACCAAGTCACTGATGTTACATTCTGCATTTTCCCTGCATTGCCCCAGCAGATACCCGAAGTCTGCAAAATGCAAAGCTTCCCCAGCAGCCACCGAAACCTCCGCTTTCAGCATTCATCCTACGTTTGTACCTCGCAAAAACTGCCTCAAGAGCCTACGCTGCCCTGGCTGTCGTGGCGTTGCGGTTGCTCGTGCTTTTATTGAACACTTGTTGCTTTCTATAAAGGGAGAAACGCTGGTGTTTTGTCACTTGAATGTAAGTGCTCTTCTCTAAATGTCACATAAACCGTTTTTCTTCCTCCCTGGAAAGCCCTTGATGCCAGAGAGGGATTCCTGCCCCTCTGCACCCTTGCATCACCCTGGTTTTCATGCAAGCGTGAGGCTCCGCAGGGAACGGGGGGATTCGGGCGGCCCCGCACCCGTCGTGCTGTGGCGATGGGGCTGCTGGCAGCGTGCTGGGTACGGGTCCATGGGTCAGCATCGGTGGCTGGGGCAGCGTCAGGGTCAGCTGAGGATAACGCTGTTTGTGGGGCCAGGGGGATGTGTGCCAAGCAATTAAAGTAATCCAGCGGCCTGACAGAAGAAGGGAATTTCATCTGTAAGTGGCTTCAGCCTTGGCTGCCCCGTTGCCAGGGGTCTGCTGCGCCAGCATTCCTGCGGCGAACTGGACAAGCCGCTGCACTGGATCTGGTTGTCCTTGCTATTGCTTAAAATAAATATTTATCTATGTCCCCACAGGCTGGAATGAAATGTTACTGCGCATTATTGACTGGGCTAGGATTTGGGGACAGAAAGTGTCTGGCTCCGTACGGCTAACGACAATATTTATCTGCGCAGCATCTTGCTCTGTTTGCAGAGTGGCAACGGCCTTTTGGGGAAAAGCGTGAGTGTCGCGGGCGTCACGGTCTGCAGCCCTGGTGACGCCGTGCGGGGATGCTCCTGTAGCATGGGAGGTGGCAGGAGGGAATCCGCCGGAGAGTCGTCTGGTCCCGCTGCAGACAAGTGGGGTTTTAGTCTTCGCCCTGTTTTTTTGGTACCAAAATATATTAAATTCTTGGTTTTATTTTCTGTGTTGTTGAGGACCGTCTCAGGATGCCTTTACGTGTCCGTTTTTGTGTTACAGATGGCAAGATGTGAAGTGTTGCTGACATCCCTGCTTTCCCAAGGTGACCCCTTGTGTCAATTTGCATGAGCCCTCTTATGCTGAGGTTCTTAATTGGCGCTGAAAACGCACACTGTGCAACGTTGCAGCGTGACGGTCGGGCATCATCCTGCCTCCAAACGTCAGGGGAAGCAATTGGCATTCGGTCAAAACTGTTTCAGATGGCTCCTTATACTGTGTCTGCGAAAAAAATCTTGGGGTGGGTGGGTCAGCGGACAGGAGAGAGAATTATATAAATCCAGAGCGAGAGAATTATATTGTTTAAATGTTAAATCTTCTTTAATACAAAGCCGTAGCTGTTGCTGTGTGAGGTTAAGGAATTTGTATTCCTCGTTTCTTGGCTTCCCTTCACCTTTTCACACTGAAAGGTGAACAGTGAGGGGCTCGGTGTGCGTAGGCTTTATTACGGTGCTGCCTGGTGCTCGTTCCACCCTTCACAGCCCTAACTGGGGCTTGGGTTTTAGTGGCGTGGTTTTAAATAACTGGTTGAAATAGAGCCGGTAGTAATGGTCCTGCTGGGAGCAGAGCTCCGGGAGAGCCCGGGGTTATCCGGTGACGACTTGGCAAATGGCAGTGGCAAATCTTTTGGTAGTGGAACAAGTAGTCGCTAAATACAGCTCAGTGCACTCATTTTGTGACCGGGGTGAAATCAAAATGAAGTATTGCAGGGTTTTCCTTCCTCAGCGAAGGCAATGGAACTGCGGACCTGCCAGGTTTGGGGTTGCGGGGGGCGGGTTGGGATGGGGATGATGGTCTCGCTGTGGGTCCCTGCGGCTGCTGCCTAGCAGCTCTGTCCTCATCATCATCCTCATCAGCTACTGGCCCCAGAGCTCGTCCCCACCAGATCGGGACTTTGGGTTTGCAGGTGGGTGTGAGCCCAGGGGTGATGCTGGGGGGCCGGGAGTGGGTCTCCGGAGGAGGAGGAGGAGGAGGCAGAGGATGAACTTCTGCTTTGTCTCAGGATCTCCCTGGCCCGTGGGCTCTGCAGTCTGCATGGGGGGGAAACCCCCCACCCTAACCTGAAATGAAGGGGGCAACGCACACGCTTTCAGCCCTGCTTTGGTCAGTGTTATTCCTTCTCTCTGCTTTTTCCTTCTGGGAGGGGAGGCAGGAGATGCCCAGCTGTCCGTCTGTCACCCTCTCGGCTGACCCGGCTGTTTTCTGTACCCCCAGACAAAGGTGAGAACGGGGAGCCCTATCAGAGGAGGAAGGGTGCCGGTGCCAGCCTGCCAGACGGCCCCCCGGCATTCCCCACGGCCAGGGACAGTGCCCCGATGGCCGGCAGCAGCAGCTGGAGGCGGATTATGCTGATGATCCTCGCTATAACCATCCACAACATCCCAGGTAAGTCCTGTCCGTCTGTCCGTCCATCCCGGTTTGCAGGCAGCCTCTTCCCGGGGTCGGTGCCATCCTGGGAGGATCGTACAGGACTGCCGCCTTCTCTCCCTTCTTCTTTTCCTTAATGCTCGCAGATAGCACTCACCGAGTGGGTGCCAGGGTGCCTTTTGACAAGGTCTGTCATGTCAAATCTTGCTCTCTTGGTAGGGCTGAACCATGTAAAGTCTTGGCAGCAAAACCCCCCCTATGGGGAAGGGGCGCGATGGGGAGCCTGTGGGCTCAGGCTCGCTGCTGCATCTTGAACATCTGCAGCCCCGCTCACTGTTGCCAGCCTGTCATGGGCGAAAATTGTAAACCCGAGAGTATATTGAGAAAGATGACGCTGTAAAGACAACAGATTCTGGTCTCTTTTCGTTTCTCTTCTGGTCTGTGTACCAGCAAGAGATGCATTTTAAAGCGCTGCTTCTCCACGGGAGCACGTACCGTTGGGGTTTTCTTATTCAAGGGATGGAGTTTGCCAATAGATGGAAAACTGCAGAGCCATGAGTCTTGGAGGGCTGTGTCCTTCCAGGGGCTGGGCTTTGAGACTACAAAAGAAGATGTGATTAAAAAAAAAGATGAGATAGATTTGTAACAGCTGAGGAGACTCAGCTGCTTTGCAATTCTTGGTGATGTTGAAAGTAATATAAGGCAACCTTTTCAAACGCTTGCTTTCCTGGTTTCCTCTCCCTGCTCTCCTCCTCTCCTCCTTCCCCTCCCCTTTTCTTTCTCCCTTCCCAGCTCAGTCTCTGCCTGTCTCAGGTTGTAGCTTGGATGGGGGGTGCGGGGGAGAATAGGAAAAGGCTTTTCTGCATAACTTGGATCTGTAAACTTGGGGGAAAACGATGAGTGCCTTTGGAACACCCGTGGTTTCCGAGCTGGTGCGAACACATGGCTTGTTGGCAAGGAGGTGGCTATTGTCAGCCGTGAGAGCTGCTGCAGCACGGGGCTTGCTTTAACCATCAGAGCAGGGGAGGGGGAGCTGCCTTGCGTCGTTACGTGTGCTTTTCGATTTCAAGAGTGACTTTTATCCGATGCCAGGGCATCCGTCTTAAATTCCATCACTGGTTGGGCTTCCTGGGTGAGAAGGCTCCATTATGGGTCTGTAATCACAGATCCCGTATTTCTCCCCCTGCAAGGGCACCCATTGAATGGCAGGAAAAAAATCAAAGCGAACACACAGTGGGCTGTCTTGGCGTTGGAGCCGGGCTGCCCGTGGGTGTTCTTTTCCTTGAGCACTCGTGAGCTGCTGTCCCTTCCAGCCTCGCTGCTACTTGCTTGTCTCTGGGCAGTAATTGCTTCCTTCCAGCCGGTCATTGGTACCCAGCGCCCTTGGGTGCTCCTGCTCTCATGGATTTTCCTCTTTTCATCCCTTTTTAATTATAGGTAGATAACTCAGATGCCTTAGTTCAGCTCCATGTATTGCTGGGGGAGGCAGATGCCTGGCAGATGAGGCAAGTAGGGAGCTTTAAATTAGCCACACACGCAAAAAAGGGGAAGTGTTTGCACCGAGTGAACTGTAATTGGATTTCATCCTTCAAACGAACTGTCAGGGAGCCGGGGTGAAGAGTCGGGCAGCGTGTGCATCTTGCTGCCTCGGGCCATATTGGCGGGGGATTCCTGCCCCTGTCACCGGCAAAAAAAGAAAGTTTTGTAGAGGAGTGAACAAAGCATCACCCGTAGCAGTAGGTTAATGGCAACACGGCCCTGGCTGCCACAGAGCCGCCGGTCTAACCTTTCATTGCTTCTGCAAGAGCACAAAGCCACCCTTGGATGGTTACAGAGGCTCAGAAATTCTCTCTTGCATCTTAAAGGTCACAATATTAAAGCTTAATATCCAGAGAGGTGTGTGAGAGCGGTGGCCTGTGGAGGGTTCTGCTGCTCAGCCCCTGCTTGGAGGCTCGGCTCAGCTCAGCGGGGATCTCTGGGTCGCAGTGGGGGTGTCTGTCCCTGCCAAGCCCTGTCCCCAAAGTCCCCCTCCTGCTCTTTTTCCACCTGGCACGTGCCTTTCCAGCAGCCCCACAGCGCTGTTGTGGGGCTGGGTGGGTGACAGTGGCTGTTTGTGCTCGTTGAGGCCGCTCACCGATGGCAAAGCCCTGTAGCAACATCCTCGTTTCAACGGGGATTTGCCCAAAGTCATCCAGAGGTTTCAAGTCGCAGAAGTTGGACTTGAGCCCGCCTCTGCCATCATGCTCCCCAGAGCCCTGCCTGCAGGTCACAGGATGCTAGCACCGATTTCACCCTAATAAATAATTCAGATTGTGATTAAAACAGGAGCTTGTGGCCTGCCCTGCTCATTACCAGTGTCTCTGGTCTTTCTTGCATGAAGCAGATGCTGGTCCAGCCTCTCGGTGAGCAGCGGGACGGGACTCGGCTTGGCTTTCACCAAAGTCCTTTTGCTTTCCCAGCAAGTTCTTGGCAGCACCGGTGGCGCTTCTCTGATCTGCTGTGGCCCCTGCCTGCGGTGCAGGGTTTGGAAACACTGTAATGCTCTACCTCAATTATCATCCCTGCGAGCGGAAAGGCTGATGCTATAATTAGCGCTGCCTCCTGCAGCGTAATGACACCTCGGTTAGCGTGTGGGGCGGCAGCGCCTGTGCTGGGGGAGGAAGCGGGAGGTGCTGAGCCGAGAAGTTGGGGATGCTCGGTGCCTCGGCACGGCCGTCAGCCACGGGCTGCTGGCTCTCCCGGCCCCTGGGCTTGCAAAATCACTCGGTGCTCGCTTCGGCAGCAGCACGCAGCTCCGTCACCACGCCTGGTGCTTGCTCCGCTTCCCTGCGAGCCCAATGCGCTTGCAGGGAGACTGTCATCGGAGGTTGCCCAGGTGGTTCCCAAGGGTTTTCTGTCCTACCCTTGTCTTCATAATGCTTCATAAAACTTCACATCCCTCGGGGGGGATGCTGCAGCAAGGAGGGGCCTGCTCCTGTCCCGGCACACCTTGCTGGACCTCTGGTCTGGCCGAGTGCCTCTGACGGGCTGGAGGTGGTCTTGCTCCTCTGAAACCTGCGGTGTTTTACAGCTGAGCCCAAACTCTACCAAGTTCCTCCGTCCGGTGGTTAAAACCCTCGCAAGGACCATGTCTGGCCCTGTTCTGCTCCGCTCTCATGGGGAATGGGCTCCCTCTTATTATTGCCAGCAGAGAGCAGTTTTATTTACTTTGAGCCCCATTTAGGGATGAACATGTTTCGGTCTTGGCAATGCATCTATCTTTGGTATCAGGCAAATGTGCTAGAAGCCAGTTAATGTGTGGGTGAGATAATTGAATGTAAAGACCAGCCCTCTTGCATTCAGTTTATATTTAGTGGGCTCTGCCAGCAAGCAAAAGGTTTGTTAATTTGTTCCAAAGCTGGGGCTGGCAATGTAAAGAATAAATTGATAATGACAGGAGATGCCAAACTGCAGACTATTCCTCCTAATTAATATTCATATATGCCAGGTTTACTGGAACATTAATTATGTATTTAATCAAGCCCTGTTTATTCTGGTTTATCTTTGTACCTTGGGTGGCTGTTATGCTGAAGACTTCAGATTAATTAAAATGTTACTGGTGTATCACAAATAACAATTAGCGAGGTGTGAGTTGAACCGCCTTTCTCTTCGCGCTCGTTTAGAAGGGAGGAGGAGAGCCGGGTAGGACGGAGCTTGTGGGTCCGCTGCTGGCTCCCCGGGGAGTGGGGTCCTCCCACAGGGCTCGGCTCCTGGAGGAGTTTGCTCTGCTCTGAGCCGAGCCGTGGTGGCGTGCAGGCAGGGATGTCCCTGCTGCGTGAGATCAGAGGGGTCCTCCGGTGTGAAGGTGCTGCGTGAGCCCCTAATGCTCACGCCGCTCTAGGCGAGGTGGAGGACAGGACCAAGGCCATGTTCTGCAGCCATCTTCGTGCCCTGGGGCTCTCCCTGGAGTCACGGTGCTCACAGGGATGTCATGAGGGTCTGCGCCTGCCTGGGACCCTCGGTGCCTTAACCAGAGCCGGAATCGCTTCCTGGTGGGTGTCCATACGTGGCAGCGGGCACGCTTGCGTGTGGGATAGGGAAGGAGTTGCAGATGTTTCCTCTGTCGGGTTGTGGCGATGCCCTGCCTTGCTTTCCTCTGGCAGTTGGGAAGCGCGGATTTCTTTTCCACAAAAAACGGCTCAGCTGATGGCAGGCACCTGTCGGGGATCCCGCTCGCTGTGGGCACCACGATGCCCCATCCCTCCGTCTCCCCGAGGAACATCGCCGCCGGCGCACCCTCCTCTGCTGCCGCTTGCTCCCAGGGGAGGCAGTGGGGCTGAGGCCAGGGGCGGTTGCTGGCAGGCACGAGGCGGTGCTTCCAGCCACCCTAACGTTGCCCAGGAAAACTGAATTTTCCTTTTTCTTTGCGATGTGGTGGGCAGAGCGGGGTGGCCCCAGAGCCCGGCACGCGCCGTTGAGCCCATCCCCAGGAGCTGCATGCGGAGCTGGAGTCATCCGCTTTGCTCCAGCCCTTTCCTTCCTGCAAGAAAATATCTTGCTTTTCCATATTCAGTCCTATCACTCCGTGTTTGCTCCCTGATTCGATTTCTGCAATGTTTCTGCCTCAGGTGTCACCGTTAAGTGGAGGTGTCTGGGAGGGAGCAAATGGGACATGGCAGTGGTGCTGCGGCGTGCACAGAGCTGCCGGGTCATGGTGCGAGGCGGCACTGACATTCTCTGTCCGCCTCCCAAATCTCACATGGCTCCACCTGAGGCTTTCTCTCCAGTTCCCATTGCCAGCAATCCATTAACAAGCTGGATTTTTTTTTTTTAAATGAGAAGGAACAAAGCAAGGGGCAGGACAGAGTGTGTGAGCTAAATATGGAACAAATTTACCCTTGGCGGCGAAGGTGCTGCAGGGAGGAGGGGAGGGATGGTGGGGTATTGCTACGAGCAGGAGGGAAAAGATTTTAAATGGGGAAACTTTTAGATGGTGACGTCTATGGGAAGGACGACTGAGTCTCCTGGGAAGCTGCACT